TAAATCATATTATTATTTATTTATATTAATATAATATATATAATTAAATAATTTATTTGTTAAAATAAATCAGAGACTGCAATAATAGAGCAAATATGCTACATATATGAGGTGAGGAGCAGCGGTACGTACATTCCATAACACCTGAAATAACGGTATACCTTTTCATGGAATCCACCTAACGATATCCACATGTTCAGCTCACGAGCGATGTCTCTAAACTTTGATATGAGAGGACCGTTTTCTTCCTCTGACAGTTGCACAATCTCCTCCTTGTTACGTCCAACGAAATCAAAACATTCAGGTAGAAACGTCATCTGCAAAAAAATCAAATTCGCTTTGTCGCACAAGAGTTAAGTATTTTTCTGCATCCTCTGCAATACTGTAACTTATAAACTCTTCGTTGTCAATCGTCACATCTACTCACTAATTAAACAATTATAAAAATAACGCCTTATGAAGGAAACTGTTTCATATATTTTTTTTGAGATCATTACATAGTAGCATAGCTAAAACCGGACAGGGTTGTTTTTTCACCTCTGAGTAGAAAGCATGCATCGGTTTAATAATTTACCAATCTGTCAAACAGATCATTTATTGAGTTAATCAGACTACCTATCAGTCATCTAATGACAGCACTAGCTAACAGAAAATCCAGTTAAACAATAAAAGCTGGTTTTCGTTGTCTCTGAGATGCATAACGACGAATACGTATTTGGCTTTACGCGATAAACTGAACAAAATTCCCCTTGGCTTCAATAGGAGTCGTCTGAGCAAACCCAGAGTCAAAGGTACCATCGCCTAAGCAGTGCATGTTACAAAAACTCGTCACTTAGGTCGAACAGCACCTATGCGAAGTATCAACGAGGACATTTCAACTGCATGCACACGGCTGTCTTTTCGACCTATGGCACGCAACAGCGAAAGAATACCATCAAGAACGTTCCTCTAGAATGTGAGTTGAAGACAGACGTCCCACCCCAGTAACTACAATCTTTCCTTTCCTCCATGTAATCA